TTTTGCCTTTTGTGCTTCAGTCAGATCATTTCTGCTGGCCTGTCCTCTGGGTCACTGGTTCTTTGTCTGGACTGCAGCTCTTGCCCCCCCCCTCATAAATTTATGAATAGAGACATTCCGCCTCCAGGGATAGGAGCTCTCTGTGGCTCCTCTGAGCGTTTTGGTAGCTCTCTGATTGTCTCGTATCATCGCTCCCCACATCCCCTCTTCCCTGCGGATCCTTCGGCATCGCCGTGGCATGTCTGTGTTTGCCAGCTCCCAATGGGCTCAGTGTTGGCCGATTTCTGTTTATCGTTTCTTCTCTTGGCTATAAGTCTCATTGCTGCTGTGTCCCCAGCTGTTTAAGCCTCTGGCCAGAGCTTTCAGCCTCTCAGCTGCGGTTTGTCCCTGAGTCCCTGGAATCTCGCCCCACGTGTGCAATGCGGGTCCCGGGCAAAGACTTGCAAGAAGTTAGTGCAGCGGATTCTGGGCCCCGCCTCGCAGGCTCCCTCCTTCCCGGGCCGGTCCCCTCCCACCTGAGGCACTCTGCAAGCCCCAAACTCTGCCCTTGACTCCTCTGTGCAACCGGCCTGCTGAGTCCACTTGAGTGCCATGCCACGTGCCATGGGACAGGAAGTGCTCTCAGAGGAGACGCCAGATAAAAATGCGTTCAAGGGTCGCACCCCAACCCCACACCAGCTTCCGCCTGCCCTTGGCCCTTCCCTGGAGCCTTCGGACGGCCGGGTGCTCTGTCTAAGCGCTGGATCCGAGCGCACAGGGGCCGTCGGCAGCAGCGTCAGTCTAGAGTAAGTGTCTCCGCCTGCGTCAGAAGCTGAACGACCAGAGGCAAAACATTTAAAGACCGTTTCAATGCCACGTCTGTCCCTGGAGCTTCCTCACCAGCCCCAGGGGACAGATGGCGTCAACTCAATCCCCTTTGTGCACATGGGAGCTGAGACCCCAGCAGCATCCACAGACGGTGGCTCAAGACTGCCAAGAGTGCTCTCGCGTCGGCCACAGGCCCCTGCCGCAGGCGGCCACCACGTCCCCCCCACCTGGCCTGCCATCCTGTGTCCCTGCGCCTGCCCCTTATTTTCCCAAGAAAGTGTCTCCCTTCGTTCCTGCCCCTGCTCAACCTCTTGGGCTCGGGACGGGGCCTGGGCTGGGTCCCTCTTCCTCCCTGAGCACCCAAACCACCATCGCCCCCGAGATGCTGCCGTAGTGGGACGTAAACTTCCTCCCTGGGGGCCGTGCATGCAAATCAGCGCGTGCAGCTCGCGGTCTGGGGCAAAGGCTCCGCAGCCGGCCATTTGTGCCAAAGTTCTGCCCTGCCGACCTGCACGCCTCCCCCTCAAGGGGGACGAGTGATTTATGGAGGAACGGTGTGCCCCGGAACCCAGAGATGGGCTGTGGGTGGAGCTGAAGGAGAAGCTCAGACAGGGACGCGTGGCGGGAAACGCGAGCGGTGCTCAGGGGTCGCTTCTGCGTGCAGGGCCAGACCGGAGGAAGAAGGGAGGGCTTCCTGGAGGAGGCGTCGTGGCAGCTGGCCCTGGCGGGCGGTCGGCAGCACCGGGGCGTGGGCGGCGGGCGGCACAGATGGCTAAGAAGCAGTCGCCACGGACGGCGCCGCTGGCGCAGGTGTCGTTGGCACTGCCGTTCGCGAAGGGGCGTGGAGGCGGTCGGGCTGGGGACGTGAGCACAGCCAGCGTGGTCCCCGCGGGCCTCAGTTCACGTGGGCCCCCTGCGCCTCTCGTCCCCTCCCAGACGTTCGGTGCTGCCGACTGGGAAGTCTTCCGCATCGGAGAGAGGGTCTTCCTCGCGGTGGCCAACAGTCACAGCTACGACGTGGAGGTGCAAACGCAGAGTGACTCCTACGTCATCAACTCCGTCATCTATGAGCTGAACGTCACGGCGCAGACGTTCGTCAAGTTCCAGGAGATCCTGACCTGCAGGTACTGCCAGGCTGCTTGTGGCCGGTCGGAAGGGCCGGCGCGGCGGTCCCCAAAGCCGCGTGCGGTGGTGACCAGGACAGACGGCTGCCCGCACCCCTCGGAGGGGTGACGTGCCCGCACTGTCCCGCGTGTCGAAAACCTCCAGGGCCGGCTGAGTGGTTTTATGGCTTCAATTGTTGCGATCTTGGCTTCAGTTGATTTCAGCTGGTGTGGTTTGTTTGTTACAATTCGGTGGCTGTTGTTAAATTCACAGACACATGTAACCACCACCACAGGTGAGTCTAGAAGCTTTCGTCAGCTCACAGAGACCGCGACCTGTCGCCCCTCCCGCACGGCCTCCAGGCCCGGTGCCACCATTCGGCTCCCCATCCCCGAGGGTGTCCCTGTCCTGGACATTCATAGGAAGGAATGTGTATCATGTGGGCTTTTGTGACCAGCTTCTTTTGCTCGGCATCACGTTTCCGGGGTTCCTCCAGCTGCAGCCGGGTCGGCGCCTCGTTCTGTGACAGGCCCCATGGTGCGTGTCACACGGGTAGGGCACATTGTCTGTTGATGGACATGTGGGCTGTTTCTACCCTTTGACTGAATGGTGTGTTTCTGAAGAATAAAAATACACTTCGAATGACGGGCGACAGCAATCGCTGTCCTGGAGGCAGAGCAGGAAGCCACGGTTGCCGCCCTTGTGCCTCTGAAGTGTGGCCGGGCCAGCTTGTGACATTGGCGGTGAGCCGGACTCTGCGGTTGGCACCTCACGGAGGAGCCTTGGGTACAGAACCCAGCCACACCCGGAGGAGTAACACACGTGGACCCGCATCATGGCCACGGCCCACGCACCTCGCGGGCGGCTCGCTACTGAGCGTAGCCGTGGTCAACACTTTGGGGACGAATCAGAGCTGGCCGTGGCTGGAAGTGGCCCAGCACGTGACCCCGGCCAGTAGAGGATGGAAGGAGTGGGGACCCCCAGGGCCCTGCTGACCTCGGCCTGCCCCTCGGTGTCCCCAGGTACCTCCCAGCCCCATCACTCCTGGGTCCTG